ATACCTTCTATAATAAAACTTATAATAAAACTTGTTGTATATACAAAGAAAATATTAGTGCAGAATTTAAGAAAAAAAAGTTTGAGTGCCATATTCCATGTTAGGATATTTTTTTATACTTATCATAAATAATTCTTATGCACTTTAATGAATTTTAGGATGAAATTAATGATAAAAGTGGAAATACTTTAACATCATTATGGGATAATTTAGAGGCAAATGTGGAAAAAATTACATCTTCTATTTCTACAGTAGGATTAGAAGACAATACATTTGATACTCTTAATAATGGAAGTACAGCATCAAATTTATCTGAAAGTACTTCAGATATGCTGGACTCAAAAAGTCAAACAAAGAATCAATCAAAGTCTGTCAAAAATAAAACAGAAGATGTACATATAACTTTCAAAGAAATTATACCATTTACAGAGAACCAGTTAGCATCGTTATACATTAATGAGGAATTAGCATTGGTTGATATGTTTACTTCAGAATTTACAGAAATACAGATTAGAAGTAATGTAATTAGACGGCAACATAAATTATATGAACTTTTAGTGTCTTATCTTCGTGTAAGAAATCATTTAATTATGAATTCTCATGAATTGGAAATTTTAAAAAAGTCCTGCAGAGAAATACAAAAACAATTATGGTGCTTAGGGAAAGCTTGCATCACAGAAGCTGGAGAATGTCAAGATGGAAATCCTGTTGTTGCTACACATGAATATTGTACTGCACGTTTTAATCACCAAGCATTAGGGGTCTTGTCTCAAAATTTATCAACAATAAAAGATATATTACACAATACTCAAGCATTATATTCTTATGAAGAAGAAGTTTTAAAGTTACAAATTGAATATTATATTCAAAGAGTTTGCATGTCTTGTAAAGAATTTACAAATGTTCCTCAAAATGCACCTGTGACTTTATTACCAATAATTGAATCTTCACAATTAATTCCACAATTAGTGGAAATTAGAATGTGCATAACAATATTGTTTAATTTTCAACGAAAGTTATTAAAAGATAGAAAATTTGTAATGGATACTAGAGAATGGCTTACAAGATTAATAGCAATCTTGCTAAGGGTGGCAAATTGGCAAGATCATTTATTTATATTGAATCATATCTTAAGATGTCCTGGAGGGGTAATGAATTGGGCTCGCAATTATGTTCAAAATCCAGTACCACAACAGCACAGTAAATTAATTACACTTCAATTAAATGATCCATATTTAGATCACATAGTAGCTGTATTGGCTGTTATTTTATTGCCCATTAAGGATAGAGATACATTTCTTGAACAGGTATTTGAATTATCATAATTTACTTGTTATTAAGTAATTTACGTAAATCTAATAAAACATTATTTTTATTAGGTACAAGAATCATTACAAGATACAACATGTACTCCAAGTGATACAGTTTGGGTAATATTAGATGAAGAAGGAGAGGAAGATGAAGATATAGCTAATGCTGGAAAATATCTATTTGAAAGTGACCTTATTTTTTTATTAAATCAAATCCCTTTTAGTAAAGTCTTTGAACATGTGCTATATATCCAGTATCAGAATGATGGTTATTATCAAAACAAAAGTTATATTACACCACATCACTTGTTACGGATATTTGCATTTCTTACAACTATTATTAGACTCCTAAAACAAGGCTTAATAACGTACGATTCTCCAAGATATAGACAATTGGCTAAACGTCTAAGTGCATTAATTAGAGATATTGTATACTATGCTAATGATCAATGGGAAGAATTTGATAAGAGCCAGGTATGTTACCATACTATTACGTAATATTTTAACATAAATTTAGAAAAACTATTTTTCAAATAATTCTTAAATTTTTGCTTTTATAGATTACTGATGTATCAATATTAATGAAACTTCAACTTGAATTTGATTGTTTTTTTCTAAAAGCAATTTTGTGCATATTTTCGTCACGTCGTTTAGGTGCATGGCAATATTTGGCTTCTATTCCATATCATTTAATATCGTCCAATACTTTATGGCAGACATTTTATATTTTACATACTGATGTTACACAAATAGACACTTCTAATAGACATATACATGGTATGTACAGTTACACAATAAATGCATTATGAGCATTACTGACATAAATTTTAATATATCAATAATTTTAAAGATTGGATAAATGAATTAAATTCTTTACAACTTCGTACAAAGTTTGAAGAAAAGTTAAGTAGTATGCCAGGGGATGAATCATACTTTCTTTTAACAACTTTTGCTAATATGGCTTTGGCAAGAGCAGATAAAGATTACGATTTTGTAAGAACAACAACAATAGATTTATTCCAAGTATGTATCATGATTTATGTTGTCTATAATTTTGAAACATTTAGTAATAATCATAATTTATAGATTGGATTTCTTAGTGAAAAAACACGAGATTCTTGCTCAAAAGATGCTCGATCTTTACTATCAAATTTAACAAATAAGTATCCCTCACTGCTATCAGATATCCTGCAAAAGCTAAAAGATAATTTTGCTTCAGCTGGAAAGGTATGAGTAAAAATTATTATATTTTTTCATAAATAATAAATTCTTTCAAATTTTAATTTATTAATTTTAGCTAAGTTTATACTTATTTACTGAATTAAAATTGTATAAATGGATACCACGGGAGGAAGATATAGTTATTCTTTCTACATGGTTACATCAATGTCCGTTAATATCGATTGAAAATCACTTGGCCCGTTTAATTCTTACTCACTTAAATTGGGGATTTAATGAGTAAGAATATATTTATATTGGTTATAAGTTTGATAGAAGCATGAATATATACACAAAACGAACCATTTAATATTAGAACCTAAAGGGTCCTTATTGTAGGTAATTCTGTAAAAAAAATTATTCAACAAAATATTTGTTTATATAATGGAATAGAATGTACAAACAATATTAATATAATCACGACAGACAACA